AATGAAGAAAGTGATTTAGAAGAAGCTTGTGTTCTGCCTCATAGTCCTATAAATGTAGACAAAAGACCCATTTCCATGAAGTCTCCCAAGGTGAAGTATTTCCTATGGTTCTTAGATTGGGTGATAGAAACACTGCACACAGCAAGGAAGCTCTGGTGCCATGCAGTTGTCCTGAACACCTATAGGCTAGTGAGTTTCGTGTGTTGCTTTTAGAAGCATGGCCCTAGGCTGCTTAGTGGACTTGGCTGACAGTGTTCTGTCTGGTCACACTGCTGGAGGACTGTTTCCTTTTGTTTTTGGTCTGTGTTGCATTATATATATATAGCATTCATTCATTATATATATATAGCATTCATTCATTTCATTATTTGTTTGAGAAACTATTGGTCCCTGAGGCTATTAATATTTTTAAAAGTTATTCAATTTAAAATATCAGTGACAGGATGCTTTTCTAGCTTGTGTTGCAGACTTCTGGGTCCTATTCCTAGTGGTAACAAAATGAACAAATAACAAAACTATTAGTACTAATTGTTTATAGTCAAAGAACTTTAGAGTACATGTTAGTAGGGTAAACTAATGGTGCACATTGTTCTTTTTTGTTAGGATAAATGGCAGCCACTGTTGAATACAGTTACAGGAGTTCATAAATACAAATGGTTAAAGCAGAATGTGCAGGGCCTTTACCCACAGTCTGCACTTCTCAGTACTATTGTTGAATTTGCCCTTAAGGAAGAGCCAGTAGATGTGGAAAAAATGAGGAAGTGCCTACTGAAACAGGTAAGACTTTCTGTGGCACGATTCTTTGCATTGAGTCAGATTGAGGACTGACTGTAAATATTGCTGTTTTTCAGTTGGAGAGAGCAGAGGTTCGTCTGGAAGGGATAGATACAATTTTGAAACTGGCAGCCAAAAGTTTCTTACTTCCATCTGTGCAGTATGCTATGTTTTGTGGATGGCAAAGACTTATTCCTGAAGGACTTGATATAGGGTAAAGCTTTATAAAATTTCTCTCAAGTATGGAATCTTGGGAACACACTGCTGTTCTTTTGGAGTTAAAAGTCTGGCAATGTTCCAAGTCAAATTCTAGTTTCTTTGTTTGAAAGGGAACCACTTACAGACTGCTTAAAGGATGTGGATTTGATCCCACCTTTTAATCGGATGCTGCTGGAAGTGACTTTTGGCAAGCTGTATGCTTGGGCAGTCCAGAATATTCGATATGTTCTGATGGATGCAAGCGCCAAATTTAAAGAGCTGGGTGAGCTAAAGAAAACATGATAATTGAAAGTCCTTCTTGTAAAACTGATGATATGGTAATGGTTGTGACTGCAGCAATGTCCTGTTGTTAATCTTGAGTGTATAATGTGGAAATGGACATCAAGTCACTTCTCCCTTTTGGAAACTGTACGTCAGAACAGTAATCATTTATTGTTAGCTTTATTTTAGATTCAGAATAGAACTTTGAACATTTGGCAGAAAACGTAATCTCAAAATATTTTAATAAAATAAATCAAGCTACATTTTTATTAGTGTTGCACCCTATATACTCTAAGGTGCCAGTTTCCCACATTAATGCTAATCTAGATAATTTGAGCATCTGTAGAGATATGGCAAGATTAGTTTTATGGTAGTAAAATGAAAGACGCCCAAAGATATTTAGAAAATATACTGAATATATATACAGTTTTAACTACAGGGTTTTATTGTATAGTTGGGAATGCCACACTTTGGGGTGCTCATCCCCACACTTTATTTTTGTCTCCAAACTTTGAAATTGGTATTTCTGTGGAATTTTTTGTTCTGTTTCACTTTGTTTTTTGAGACAGGGTCTTACTATGTATCCTTTGCTGGCCTGAAACTCAAAATTTAGATGGGGTTGGTTTCCAACTCCCAGAGGTCCACCTGCATCTGCCTCCAGAGTGCTGTGATTAAAGGTGTGTGCCAGCACCTCTAACTCTAAATTTTCACTACTTTGAGATTGCTGGGATCTCCATTTAAATTTTTGAAGACAATATACCTAGGAAAAGCTTAGCTTCCTTCTTTAAGCACAGATGTTATATCAGAGTTCACTTTTACTAATGGTGAAAATTGTACTAGAATTTAACACTATACTAACTGAATTTTTCCCTTTTGTACTATATCTTGAAGACAAGGATAACAGTATGTGGAATGTAGATGGTGAGGATATCGTAAAATAAAATCGATCCGCCCTAACCTCACTATGTGGAAACCCACTTTAAAAAAAAGTTACATAAATGAATAAGTAATTAATAACCAAACTCCACTGTGTTTTGAATGATGTGCATTGTACCCATAAATGAGAAATTCAGATGAATGTCAATGTTTTTTAGGTATTCAGCCTATCCCCCTACAAACCATTACCAATGAGAACCTGGCAGGACCAAGTCTGGGGACCATCCCACAAGCTCGATTTCTTCTGGTGATGCTCAGCATGCTCACCCTGCAGCATGGTGCAAACAATCTTGACCTCTTGCTCAACTCAGGCACACTGGCCCTCACACAGACTGCGCTGAGGCTGATCGGTATGTTGGCTTTGGCTCTGGATCCTTTAGAAAAACATGACTTTTATCTTTTCTCCTTAACAACAACAACAAATTACACACACACACACATACACAAGCTAGCCTTTTAACTATGCTGAGTGTAACTGAGCAATGTTAGGGACTTTAACATTTTTTTCTTTATTTTTTCTCTTTGACCTTGTTTTTTAAGACAGGATCTCAATATATATATACCCTTGCCTAGCCTGGAGCTCTCCATGCTGGTCTTAAACTCACAGAGATCCTCCTGCCTCTGCCTCCAGAGTACTGAGATTAAAGTTGTGGGCTACCATTCCTATTGGGGACATTCACATTTTGAGCAGCTGTTACTGCTGTCTTGTTTTAGAACATTTTCATAACCTCAGGTGCAAATCTTACATCTGTTTATCAATCACTCTTGCCCACCCTCCTGTTCCTGGTGACCACAAATCGGCTTTCTGCCTCAGTGGATTTACATTTTTTTGAGGATTTCATGTAAGTGCGGTCATGTAATTTATAGGCTTTTGTATTTAGATTTTAGTGTATGTCAGTATTTCTTTCTTTCTTTTTTTTTTTTTTTTTTGGTTTTTCGAGACAGGGTCTCTTCTGTGTAGCTTTGCGCCTTTCCTGGAACTCACTTGGTAGTCCAGGCTGGCCTTGAACTCACAGAGATCCATCCGCCTGGCTCTGCCTCCCGAGTGCTGGGATTAAAGGCGTGCGCCACCACCGCCCGGCAGTATTTCATTTTTTTAATGACTTTTTTATATATTGATGGGCAATTGAGTTATCATTTTATTTTAGTGAGTAGTTTTGCTAGGAATGTTTGTATATAAATTCTTGAATACCTATTTCTGGTTCTTTTGATTATAAAAGAAATAGAATACTGGGGTCATCTGGTAAGGTTACAGGTGGATACTGGATTTTGGAGGGCACCCACTGGTATTTCCAGGTTGTTTAATACTAGAACAAGAAATCAGAGTAGGAACATACAGATGAGAGAAACCAAACAGTTTATTAAGTATTTTTGAGCTGTAAGAAGCACTAGTGAGCCATATGTTGGGGAATGTAAGAGCATGAATGGTACCCGTACTGGGCAGGTTGGGATAGTCTTACAGTGTAGAACTTTTGTGCACATATCCTATTTCAGGTAGTCTTAGTAGGGAGAGATTTCTAGTTTCTCTGTTAATTGGCTCTTTTCATATACTTTTTAAAAAAGATATTCTCTATGTAGCTCTGCTTGGCCTGGAAGTCTATGCTCCCAGAGATTCCCTGCCTGCCTCCAGAGTGTGGGCACTAGGCTTGCCATGTATAAATATTAATGTTTCACTTCTGACCAGGGATGTGGGTGTCTACTTTGAGTGATTCGTGCATCAGACCTGCACTGAGTTAGTTGCACACTGGCTCCCCACATGCAAATCTCCACTTCTGTGGATCTTTGACAGCTTTATTGTTGCACTTTGGGATTAAGGCCTTCATCTACTGAGTGTGAAGTGCTCCTTAGTGATTTTTGGTTTGCATTTCAACTAATGACAAATGCATTGTTATCTGTTATCTGTGTATATCTTACAGAAATGTCCTTTGCCAGTTTTTTTTTAATGAGTTGAATTCTTTGTCTTTTTGTTATTGAGTTATAGGAGTACCAGTTAAAAGTACCACATAAGCTGGGTGTGGGGGTGCATGCCTTTAATTCCCAGTACTGGGAGGCAAAGGCAGGTGGATCTCTTGTGAGTTCGAGGCCAGCCTGGTCTACAGAGTGAGTTCCAGGACAGCAAATGCTATTACACAGAGAAACCCTGTCTTGAAAAATCAAAAAAAAAAAAAAAAAAAAAAAAGTATCACAAAAATGAACCAAACATTTAAGGAAGACTTAATAATCCTCAGGCTCTTCCAAAAATACTCTGGATGTTAGACTTTTGCAAATTTATAGACCTTTAGTAGATGTTGTATGATTTGAGGATAAATTTTCTTGTCTTGTGAATTTTATTTTCTTTTGATGCAGTTTTTCATCTTCTGATAGCCCACCTAGTTATTTTTCTTTGCTCTCTGTGCTTCTGTCTTTGCCACGAAGCAGTTGGCAACACTAAGGCAGGTGAAAATTATCTGTTATTTCTTCTGCAGGTTTTATTGTTTCAGCTCTTATATGTAGGTCTTTTGTGCATTTTAAAAATGAAAATACAGTTATATAATTTCCCTCTCATCTTTTCTCTCTCCTAACCCTCTCATGTATCCCTCCCTGCTTTCTCAAATTCATTACCTTTTTCTTTCCCTGGGAAGACTATTTCTCCCACTCTCAGCATTCCTTAGTTCTTTGTCTAGGGTTAGGCAGCAGCCTTGTCCAGGCTTCCCTGAGTTTCCTAGGAGATGCAATCTCACAGCAGACGTCCTGTTCCTCTGGCTCTTACAGTCTTTCTGCCCTCTTGCTTAGCTTTCCCTGAGCCTTAGGTGCAGTTGTATGGCAGATGTAAAAATGTGGAATGCTTTACAAATTTGTGGGTCATTCCTGCCCAGGGGCCCTACTAATCTTGTCTGTATTGTTGCAGTTTTAGCATATGTACTGCCAAAGCAAGCATGTCTTTTGTACTTTTAGGTAAACATTTTATATATTCACATAGCCTGACTTTAAATTTTTTTTTATTATTATTTATTTATTCCACTACCATTTGTTGCAAACTTTTCCCCCAGTGTCTTGGTATCCTTGGAAAGCCATTTGACTAGACTCCCAGTTCTATTGTTTCATGTGCTTATTATTACTATGGTGACCCTGCATTGTTTTGAACATTGTGGCTTTGTAGCAAATTTTGAAGTTGAGATTGGGAGTCTTCTGACATTTTTTTTCCCCTGGAGATTGTTTGGGTGTTTTGGGTTCACTTGCATTTCTATGTGGAATTTTAGGGCTGGTTTTAATATATCTGTAAAAGGTCTTGGAGTTGTTTTAAGGATGCTGTGGGGGTCTGTAGATCACCTTAGGGATTATTTCTATCCTACCAGTATTAGCTTCCGTTCTATGAATACAAGTACATTTACTGTTTAGAGTTTAATTTCCTTCAGCAATATTTTAGAGTGGGACAGTTTCCAGGATAATAATGACTAAACAGAACAGATTAGGAAGTGTCCCCTAATGTTCTTCTTTTAGAAGAATTTAAGAGTTATTAATTCTTCTTTAAATGTTTGATAGAACTCACCTGTTAAGCCTTATGGGCCTGTACTTTTCTTTGTAATTCCGTCTCTTTTCTTACAGGTCTATGTGGGTTTTCTGTTCCTTCTGAGTTACTTCAGGTGTAATTTGTATGTTGCTAGGACTTTATTCATTTCATCTGGGTATTCTTGTTTCTTGGTATATATAAAATTGTTTATAATGGTTTCATTTTTCCGTGGGGAGTATTTCCCCTACAGCCATTTCTGGCTTTACTTAGTTGTATCTCTTCCTTCTTTTTTTCTTAAGTAATCTGTACTTTTGGTTTTCTTGATTCTCTTGTTTTTTGTTCTTTACTTCATTTATTTCTCTTCTAGTCTTTACTTTTTCTTCTATTAACTGTTTCTATTGCATTTTTACTGTTATGGTTTTCTAGTTTCCCCAGAAATCAAATCTGTGGTCTTTGTAGTCCACACTGTCCCCTTTATCAGCTTTGGAGATGTGTTTCCATGGGTCTCAATGTGTGCTCTCATATCACTTAGAATTTCTACTTTGGCCCAATGGTTGTTTAAGTGAATTCTGCTTTAATTTCTCATACTTATATATTCTTTAGGTTTTCCTCTGGTACTAATTTTTAATCATTACATTTTATTTGGAGAAGAAATTCATGATTTGAGAATGTAACTGTTGGTAGAAATCTTGTCTAGCATGTATGAAGCCTTGAATTCAAATCCTCAGTACTACATAACCCAGGCATAATAGCACACACCTATTATCTTAGCACTTAGAGGGTGGAGGCAGGAGCATCAAGAGTTCATTCTCGGCTTTGAAATGAGTTCAAAGCCATCCTGGAATATATAAAACCCTGTCTGAAAAATAAGGTAAAACTCTGCAACTATATAGTCTTTCATATTAACTTTATATGCGTGTTTATCCAGGTTCAGCAAACACTAAGTATAAATTGTCCTTTTTCTTGTCGCATATTTATTCATGCCCCTAGTAAATTCAGCCTTCAAAGAGCTAGCAGAACGATGGTGGGATCTGCCCCTATCTGAAGACCCTGGGCTAAGGCATCAGCTGAAAGATTTTAAGTATTTTATCAAGAATTTTTGTAGTGTTCATAGGAAATTCAGTGTTCATAGGAAAATTGATTTGTAGTTCTGTTTCTTCGTTTGATTGTTATATGGTTTAGGTATCTGGGTAATTGTGGCCTTGGTAAAAAGAATTAAGCAATGTTCCTTCAGTTTCTATTTTGTGGAATAATTTGAGGAGTATTGGCATTAATTCTTTGAAAATCTTGTAGAAATCTGCATTGAATCTATCTGGCCTTGGCTTTTTATTTTTTTTGTTTTTGCTTGGGAGACTTTTAATAAGAGTTTCTATTTTACTAGGGGCTATACATCTGTTTAAATTGCTTATTCTCGATTTAGCTTTGGTAGGTGGTATATATCAAGAAATATATTCATTTCTTTTAGATTTTCCTATTAGGTGCAGTATATATTTTTAAACTATGTCCTTATTATTCTCTGAATTTCCTGTGTCTGTTGTGATGTCCCCCTTTTCATCTCTAATTTTATTAATTTGGATCTTTTCTTTACATCTTTTAGTTAATTTGGCTAAATTTTTTTATCAGTCCTGTGATTTTCATTAAGAATTAACTCATTTCATTGATTTATTTGTGTTTTTGTTGTTGTTGATGGTAGATTTCTGCTTGGAGTTTGATTAGTTCTTGCTATCTACTACTTGGGTGTTATTTCTTCATTTTGTTCTAGAACTTTCAGATGTGTCATTAAGTTACTATGAATATGAGACCTCTAATTTTTTTTCCATATAGTCACTTAGTGCTATAACTTGCCCCTAGAACCGGCTTTATTTGTGTCCCATATATTTGAGTATGCTGTATTTTCCTTTTTATTCAACTCCAGAAAATTTTTAAATTTCTTTCTTAATTTGTATCTTGACCCACTTTTCAGTCAGTAGTGAGTTGTTCAGTTTCCCTGAGTTTGTATGCTTTATGCTGTTTTCGTTGTTGTTGATACCCACTTTTAATCCTCGGTGGTCAGAATGCAGGGCGTTATTTTAATTTTCTTGTATCTTTTGAGACTTGCTTTAAGTCCAAGTATGTGGTCAGTTTTGGAAAAAGTTCCAGGAGCTGCTGAGAAGAAGGTATATTCTTTTGTTTTTGGGTAAAACATTCTATAAATATCTTCTAGGTCCATTTATTTATGATATCATTTAGCTCCAACATTTTTCTGTTTAGTTTTAGATAACCCATCTATTTGCAAGAGTTGAGTTTTGAAGTCACCCACCATCATTGTGTGAAGATCAGTATGTGATTTTAGCTGTAGTAGTGTTTCTTTTATGAACTTGGGTGTCCCTGTGTTTGGTGCATAAATGTTTGGAATTATAATATTCTCTTGGATTTTTCCTTTGACAAGTATGTAGTGTCCTTCCCTATTTCTTCTTATTAGTTTTGGTTTGAAGTTTATTTTGTCAGGTATTAAATGCCTACATTGGCTTGCTTCCTGAGTCCATTGGAATATTCTTTCCCATCCTTGTATGCTGAGGTGATATCTATTCTTGATGTAAGGTGTGTTTTTTGGAAGCAGTGGAAGGATGGATCCCGTTTTTGTATTCAACCTATTAATGTATGGTTTTATTGGGGAACTGTGATCCTTGATGGTGAGTTATCAATGAGCAATGTTTGTTGATTCCTGTTATTTTCTTGTTATGGTGTGGGTTATGGTGCGGGCTCCCCGCTCTTGATTTGCTGGTCTGAGATTATTTATGCCTTCTGTTTTCTGGGTGCGACAAACCTCTTCAGACTGAAGTTTTCCTTTTAGCACCTTTTGTAGAGCTGTATTTATAGATAGGTACTGCTTAAATTTAATTCTATCATGAAATCTTTTTCTTTCTTCATCTAGTGTGATTGAAAGTTTTGCTAGGTATAGTAGTTTGGGCTGGCATCTGTGGTTTCTTAAGAGTTTGTGGAACATTGATCCAGACCCTTCTGGATTTTAGTCTCCATTGAGAAGTCAGAAGTCTATTGGGTCTGCCTTTATGTGTTATTTGTTTTTTTTTTTTTTTCTTTTGGAGCTTTTAATGTTCTTTCTTTTTTTTTTTTGAGACAGGGTTTCTCTGTGTAGCTTTGCGCCTTTTCCTGGAACTCACTCTGTAGCCCAGGCTGGCCCCAAACTCACAGAGATCCGCCTGCCTCTGCCTCCCGAGTGCTGGGATTAAAGGCGTGCGCCACCACCGCCCGGCATAATGTTCTTTCTTTTTTAATATACATTTAGTGTTCTGGTTATAATGTGTCCGGGGGATTTCTTTTCTGGTCTTTTCTATTTGGTGTTCTGTATGCTTCTTGGATCTTGATAGAGGCCTCCTTCTTTAGGTTAGGGAAAGTCTATGATTTTGTTGAAAATATTTTTTTGCTTTTTATCTGAATTTCTTTTCTTTCTATTCCTTTTATTCATTGATTTGGTCTTTCCATAGTGTTCCAAATTTCCTAGATGTTTTGTGCCTGGATTTTTTTTTTTTTTAGATTTAACTTTTTTTTTTTCTTTCTTTTTTTGGGCAAGATATCCATTTCTTTTACCTTGTCTGTAATGCCTGAGGTTCTCTCTTCCATCCTTTTTACTCTGTTGGTGAGACTTACCTCTGAGGTTTTGGTTTGGTATCCTAAATTTTTAATTTTAAATTTTTATCCATTTGGATTTTCTGAGTTCCTGCCAGGTGTGGCCCCTGGGGTCCTGGGTAGAATGTGTTCCTTGGTTTTATTGGGGGCTGATATGAACAAATGGGAATGAGCTAGCAGGGGGAGGCTGAATGGGTCCACAGGAAGGAAGGAAGCTGGGTATGTCATGAGGTTTGACAGGGAATAGAGGTAGAAAGGATGCAGACCCCTTCATGTGGTCTGCTACAGGGCTGGGGATGAGACTGATGAATTTGCAATGGAGGAAAGGAGGAGAATTAAGACCACCCACTGGATTCCCAGGCTGCCATGGCCAGTGAGCTCCTAGGGAGAGAGTGTCTTTGGGTATTGGAGGCTGACACAGAGGAATAGAGTCAGGGAGAAAGGCTGGGTCCTGCCAGAGTCTCCAGAGTTCCCAGGGAGTGGAGGCAGAGAGGGCGGCAAGGCCCTTGCAGTTGATTTCCTACAGGGTTGGGGGTAAGACTCCAGTATGATTTCTTAAACTTAGTGCTAATCAGTTCTTCTTGATCTTTGTGCTGTGTGTGTGTGTGTGTGTGCGTGTGCGCGCGCGCCTGTCTATCTGTCTGTCTATGTCTGTGTGTCAGGGTCCTTCTGTGTAGACCAGTTTGCTTTGAACTGATGACCCTCTTTAGTGCAAGGATTATGTGATGTGTCACCAGGTCTGCTGATGTGTCTATTATAAATAGGACATTGGAGGCTGGAAAGATGGCTCTGCTGT